CCGATTAACGGGCAGGCGCGAAGAGAAACTTTGGCTTTCGCTTGGCTCGGCGACGATTTCACCCAGTGCCACACTTACAACTGGCAAAAAGAGAACGCCAGACGTGCCATTGCGGGTGGCTTTGGTAATTAGACAACAAGTGTCTAAAGAGCGCGTTGCGGCCAGTTCAAAAGACGAGACGGCAAGACCCACTAATGAGGAGCCAAACACACAAAAGGCCACAGCAACAACAACATCGCCAGCTGCCCACTTGCAGCTCATCTTTATGCGCAGACCTGATCGATGTTGAGGAGGTGTTAAAATCGTTGCCGCCTTTGGGTAATTGAGCGCTCGACTGCGTAGGATAGCAGGCGTTGTGCAAATATATTAATCATAAGAAAATCGGCGGGTAAACGAGCTCTTTCTTTAAGTTGGCCGCTAATTTTCATACGGTTTACTTTATCAATTAGGCAGCCACTGATCACAGATGGGTCTCTAGTCCAGCACTTAACTGCTTAAACCCAACTCTTGGCTGCCCCATTCGATTGTCAAATAATTTTGGGTGTTTGATCGCACCGCCGCCAGTGCCAGAGTCAGGCCAGGCCCAGCCAGGCCCGCCAGTCCAATCCAAATATGATGATCGGCAGGCACTTCGGAAGCGGCTTCTGTGGCCCGGCAAGCAAATCAATTTAATTTGTTTGTCCAGCGGCAGCGATTGGTAATGGACAGCTAAGTGGCCGAACAGTTGTTTGACCAAAATGCCGAACTGTTTGCTTGTTTACCCCTCACATTTTGGCTGACAAATTGTTGAGCCAATGGTTGACCGAGCTGCTTAAAGTATTTTCGAATTAAATCTATGCTGTATTTTTCATAATTGGCTCAAGGAATCAATGCTGAGGGTGCGGCTACATTTATCAATATTAACAATACAACTTCATCATATCGTAATCCTGACTTCACACAGCGTTAGCATGAGCATACGTTGGGTAAATTGTGGTGGCACTTGGAATATGCTGCTTAAATTGGTTTACACCAACAAAAGTGGAGGGTTTGCAGCACAATCTGAGGGTTAACGCTAACCACCCGTAGCCAAAAGCAAAGTCAAGCCAGAGATGAGTTCGTTTACGCATTTGTTCCACCCTTCAGCAGTGGCGCTGCCATGATGATGGTATGATTCATGGCATACACAGAGAATATATGCGATTTTGATGCTGATGATAACGATAGCATTTAACCCACACAACGAACCACTTACTTTTTTTCACCGGGCATCGCTTGATCTACTTAATAACCCCTACATTCTCCCAGTGCGCCAGTCTTATAATTTGCCATTTAGCCAGAGCAACAGCCCTCCTATCCAGTTCCGACAAGCCACCCCCACTATCTTCAACTCCAGCCAGTTTAATGGTGGTTGCATGGGCATCATCGTGTTGAATTCACTGCTGGCTCGCTAGGCTGTGCTGTACCCGCTGTAAGCGCATATTAATCCAATTATCATGCAGTGTGCACGAAATCACTTAATCGTTTCGAATCCGGAAGGCAACGCCAATGACGCACGCCTGTACATTGGGTTATGGCTTTACCCAAAATTATTACAGTTACGCACAGTTAGCATAGATGTAGTTATGATAGCTTAGACACTGATCCCTGTGGTTGGAATGGGGGTAGTTTGTCGGATAGGGCCATTTCCTTATATATATATCTGAAAGTCTTCCGTAAATATAAAAAAAGTTACACATATTTTAAATAGTTGTAAAATCATTTTAATAAGTTATTAAAAATGGCTAAGAAATGAAATATACTTGATATATATATACACTACTAGCGGGAATAATCCGGCCTTGCCCTTGGAACGTATAAAATAAATATTCTCAAAAAGGTTTGAAAATGATTTTGAAATTGATCGGACGGTAAACAACTTTCGTACAAACGTTTTCCGCCAATTTACCATTGTTGCGGGTGGAATTTCCCAAATCGCTACAACACGTATTAATTATATTCTTATGTAGAGCTTTGAAAATAAGTTTGAAGTAAATCGGACACAACTTAAAACTTCGCCCAAAAGATCTGTGAATCGCATTTCTACCGAAGAAGTTTGGATTCTGTGAAAAGTGAGAAACACGCCTGAAATGATTTTTCATATAGATCTTTGCAGAAAAATTTGATTGCAAAAAGTCACCCACCAAATCTGCGAAAACCATTTCTACCAAGGAGGGATGGATTTTCAAAAAGTGCGAAAAACCCCCTCAAATGAATTTGAACAAAGATCATTGAAAATAACTTTGGGGCCGATCGGATGGTACCCAAAATGGTTTCATACAAATGTTGAACGCGATTTTTCCACACTTGCGGGTTGAATTTCCGTAAATCCCGTCTTAACGTGCAATTTCATCACATAAGGTTACTACAGTGAAAATTTCAGCTTCAGAGCTCTTACTGTTTGGGCTGTGAGTTGATCACCAATCAGTCAGTCAGTCAGGACAAATAGTTTTATATATAGAGACTAGCGGGTATAACTCAATGTTTTTAAAAAGCTTTGAAAATTATTTTTAAATTGATCGGACGGTAAACAAACAACTTTCGTACAAACGTTTTCCGCCAATTTACCATTGTTGCGGGTGGAATTTCCCAAATCGCTACAACACGTATTAATTATATTCTTATGTAGAGCTTTGAAAATAAGTTTGAAGTAAATCGGACACAACTTAAAACTTCGCCCAAAAAATCTGTGAATCGCATTTCTACCGAAGAAGTTTGGATTCTGCGAAAAGTGAGAAACACGCCTCAAATGATTTTTCATAATTTAAACAAAGATCATTGAAAATAACTTTGGGGCCGATCGGATGGTACCCAAAATGGTTTCATACAAATGTTGAACGCGATTTTTCCACACTTGCGGGTTGAATTTCCGTAAATCCCGTCTTAACGTGCAGCTACATCACATAAGGTTACTACAGTGAAAATTTCATTTTTTTACTTAAAAAAACAGGATTTCGATATCGATTTTGATTGTTTGCTTGAAAGCGGTGCATGCAATCAATTATCGGAAACAAACTCGTACTGCGATGGCACTAGGAGGACTAACGTTCAATTTCAAGTACCTAATTCGTATATGTTGTGAGATCCTTGCGTTCATACATACGGACGGACGGACGGACGGACATGGCTAGATAGACTAGGCTATTGATGCTGATCAAGAATATATACCTTATGGGGTCGGACATGCTCCCTTCTGCCTGTTACAAACATTTGCACAAATACATTATAACCTTTTTACTACTCTAATGCTTGACTTTTATAGGAACAATCGATCTGAGATAAAGCTTTGCTATCAGAGGCATGCTACAAGAAGGGTATAAAATCTTCGGATTTGTCACTTGTTTAAATTTCTGCTAGCAATGGACAGTTTTGACAATGTGAAAATGTTGATATAGGGCGTGTATCTTAATATGATAAAACTGTTATTAATATAAGCGCTTCCAGTAAAATTCACACGAGTGATGGGTGCCAGAATAAACCAGAATAAAAATGAAAACAATTTGATTTAATTAAAAAATTACGGGATTACACGTATTAATGCTTGTCGAGCCAATATATATGCAAATTGCACACGCAGTCCGACAGGATGACTGGTGGCTGCCATGGCGCAGGGGGCAAAGTGCAGGGAGGGACCCGGGATGACTATGGCGAGTGTCGCATATTAAAGAATATTTTATTTGCTTTTATTACACAGCACGCCCAGTTCAGTTCACCCTGACCCTGTTCCGTTGCTTGCCACCGACTCGCACGTACCGGAAGCTTGCAGCACAGACGCTGATGCTGATGCTGACGATGTCGTCGCCGGTGCTGCGGACAAAAAAATAAAAGGCAACGCAGCCCACAATGAGGCTGAGAATCTAATAAATTGTGCCACTGTCACTTGGCTTAGTGAAGGATAACTGGCCACACGCCCTCTTCCAACAATAACAGCAACAACAGCAACAATCACAACACGAACAGCGTTGTGGGACGAAGAGCTCATCAAAAATTCATAACGCGCCACGTAATAAAAATTATTCAAATTTTTCGCACCCAACGATATGGAGAAACGTCAGCGGGTGGGTGGCAAAAAGGCAACTAAATTGCGGTAATGTTTCATAAGGATGCTGGCAAAGGGCAAACGCAGAAAAGGACAAATCACACCCTTGATTATGATGCGCAAACATGCACGCGCTGCCGGCGTAGCGGGCAGGCATCAAGCGTCAGGCGTCAGGAGTCAGGAGTTGGGAAGAGAGTGTGCCCAAACGGAAATTGAATGATTTTGTGCAACAGTCGCGGAAGTTGCTACTTTATAGTCATTTAGTGGTTGGACGACAGCGGCGCAGGACAATGCATCAGCGGCTTAGCAGACCGGCCGGCTCAATATGCTTGCCGTCAGGGCGAGTGTCACATGGGGATTTTTTTGCCTGGTTTGTATCACTCGAAAACCGCAAACGGCAGTACTTAAAATTTTACAGAAATCGAAACTTGCCGCTGGGATGTCCGATAACAAAATAAAAGTGCCGCAGGAAGACAGCGGCAACGACAACGGTGACGGCAAACGTTGCCCGATGCCAAGTCGACGCTGTTTCCGCCGGATGTGTAATTTGATACTTTTACAGTTTTGGCACATGCAACAACGAAAACACCATTGAAAGGGGTGTCTGAACCGCGCTAATTTTTGCAATTGACTTTGAAACCCTATGCAAGGATGCTGGCGAACAGGCCGGCAAAGAACGGCGCCTCAGAAACGCATATAACGAGCTCCTTTTCTGTGATATTTGTGAATTTCAATTCAATTTCCTCTTGCATTGCGAAATCTCGCGACTGACTAAAGTCTAGATACGCACAGCGGATAAGGGCAAGGATGAAGAACTAGAATGACTATAATGCATGCATTGTATGGCTATGCTACAGTGAATACTGCCTAAGTGATATACTGAGGAGGATCTTATTCTACTTAGTATTATTTATTGCCTAGTAATGCAACCAACAAGCTCTTGTGCTATGCTTTTCAATCTATTTTCAGTAGTTATTGATAGCAGTTAACCAATAACAAACAAAATTGTGATCCTCTAGATTTTTCCCATCTTTTCTGGGAAACAAAATCTGAGATTGCAAGTGAATTTTCATTAGAGAGTTTCTCATGAGTAACATCCTTCCTAGCGGGTGAGCACTGTAGGTGTAATATTCACAAATTCGTTGGCCAGTTTGGTTGCAAAGTCTGCCTGGGCATTCAATGAATCGCCTGTCGCTGCTGGCTGCAATGTGAGTGAGTGAACTGTCACAATTGACGTGAGGCGTATAAATTTTACATTTAACGAAAACGTAATCGAACTGAGCTCTGTATATGGACTGGTAAGCAGAGAGGAGCCAAGCATCGAAGCCAGTTAGCCAGTTGACCGCTTAGCTTGTTGGTATGTGTGTTATGAAGACATCAGCGAGGCGCACGGCAATTTGTGGGACGCCACAGAGCCTGGGCTATGCCTGGATCGCCAATTTGATGGGACTGCATGCGCCGAATGCATTCATCAGGGAGCATTGTTTGGCATTGGTGGGGGCTCGGGTGCTTGGGATTACTGTTCGCATTCTCCGTTCACATTAATAGTCAATAATGGGCCACCTTGGAAAATAATGCAAGAGCGAGAAATCAAATTAAATTCCCCGGACGGAGCAGCGTCTGGGGACACATTAAGCAGCGTTTTCCAATCAGCATAAAATTTATCAAATCGAATTCAAATGCAGAATGAAATGCAAAGCAGTTGCTACGAGCATAAAAATCACATGCCAATCGTATGGCAATCAAAGTGCCCTTCCTCTCCCAGCTAGCGCCATATTGATGATGGCTCTACGTGATGTTTGCTCACCAAAAATTTGCATGTGAAAAGGTTTTTCATTGGCTGCTCCTCCATCCGGCTGTCGTTCTGGCTGGCGTGCAAGAAAAAATGGCTGTACAAATGGCCAGGAGTCAAATGGAATTTAAATCGATTAAAATGAAATCAAGTCGTAAGCGAATCGCAGCTTTGTTTGTCTTTCGCCAATGGCCAAAGTCGTCGGCGGCTGCAAGGGTATCGCTAATGTCCCTGTCCTCGTGTTCGCAGCTGCGCACAAATCGTTTAACTCAAATTGATTTGTCAATATTTAATTAGGCGCAGGCTATGCGGGCAGAAGCAGGCGCCTTTGATGTCCTGTATTTCCTGCGGATTAATGAGCGGTGTCCTTTGTGGGCGCATCGTGTTTTAACAAGTGCCGAAAAACTACTTGAAGCTTAGCCTGCTCGTAGGTTTACCTATCGATCATTGGCCGTGTCGATTATAAATTGGAAATACAGGGAGGAACGAGATAGTTATGCATATAGTATATTTTATTGAACTGCAAAACAACAACAATATTTAAATTTTATTATATAAGAGATTTAGTTTTAAATTGATTTAATGTCATGACTTTTTTCTTTGCTCCAATCATTGAAATATAAGTTTGGTTTCTAAGATGGATTTTATGCTAGAGAAATTGTCTTAAACAAGTCTCGCGTTTGGCAATTTAAAAAGAATATTCAGTCTTGCAATCACAGCAATTACCAATCAATCAATCTAACTGGCAAACATTTAACATACATTTTCCCGAACACACACGCAAATACACACACACAGGCACACACGTGAACAATCAGCTATAAATGTCAAGCGCGCCCAAATACAATTAAAGGCTTTTTCTATATCACCGGACCGACCAGAAGGACCTGCATTAAGAGGCTTAATTTTTTGGGCAAACGGCAAATGGCGAACGCCTGTCAAAAGGCACGTGAAAAAACGTGTCCCATTGACATTTAGCTTGATGAATGATCATAAGCGCATATCCAGGAAACGTTCCCAGTCACTTTCGAAGGGTTTGACTGACTGCTGACACGTGACTTGGACTGGGACTTGGATCTCGACGTGGGATGGGTGTCATCAGTGGCGTTAGCGGTGATTGCAATAATTTAATCTTTAACAAAGCCAGGGGAAACACAGCTAAAATAAACTTTTCTGCAATATGTAATAATACATTTTTAATTTTCTATCCATCGCATAATATAATATTAAAACTCAACAGAAAGGCTCTAGTTCAGTTCACAGCTCCAATCAGCTCCCTGTCTTTGATTCGGCTCCTCATTCTGATTTTTTACATTCCTTAACTCAGCTTTTGAACCTTGTTCATAAATATATATAAAAAATTGTTATCAAACAATTCAAATTTAAATTTACAATGGTCCCTTTTGCTGAAAATTATTGCAAGCCATATATACTTATTTTCAAATAGAGGAAACATTTGATCCCCATCCGAAATTGCCATCTGCCATATGTACATAGATATATAAATGCAATGGAAACGAAGCAAAATTTATACATCTTGCTGGTTTTGGTTCGGCTGGTTTTTAAACAGCCTGATTGGTTTTAAGAGTCGGTTCATAGTAGTAAATATATTGTACCTAATTCTAATCGATTCGGCTTAAAACCGGTTTGCAGAGTGCTAAACAATGCAGTTGGTGCTTAGAAATTGAGTTCTTATTGTCATCAAATTTGTTCACTGCATTCACATTTATAATAGACTTTCTTATTATATTTTAAAATTAAATCAATAATGTTAAATAAGTATTATATATACGCAATAATCTTAGTATACAGGTTCACGAAGTGGGATATAAATGAAAGTTAACAAACATCTAATAGTTGAGCCGTAGCAACATTTTTTTTTATTTAGGGTGTGCTAACTTTAGTCATTACTTGAGCCATAATTTGCTATTATTGACGAGTGTCAAACTTTTCACATACCTGTGACAACACTCGACAGACGGACAGACACACTTACAAACACTCACACAATGACATCCGGCATCATTAGCATATGGTAACATCTATCGACTTACCCAACGTCCCAACATCGTAACGTCAAATGGACTTTGATTTTTTGCAATAGTCGGCGGAAATTTTGCACGAACGCAAACTTTTTTGTTTCCTGTTGTTGTCAATAACTAATTCGTTTGTCATTTTCCGTTTACATAACAGACAACCAGCAACAACAACAAGGAGGTGGTCACAACAGCCCCAAGCAACAAAATGGCGCACATGTAAGGACAAAGTTTTGCCCGCGTCTTGCGGCCGCTTTGTCCTTGCTGGGATGCCAGTTTGTTGGTTTGGTTATCGCCTCAACTTACGACATAATGCAAAAATGTTCGAAACATATTGAAAGCTTCCCCTTTACCCGCCTTTACCCACCGCTGACTTTGATGAAATCGTTAAATGGGTGAAATGTAGGGTATAAAAAACTCTTTTTGACAGAAGCCAACTTTTGTGACGCTAATAGCCCATATTCCTGGTCTGACTCAACTATCGAAGTAGGTTTGTTACATGTATACAATTATTGTCACCGAAGATGTCTATACGTTTGTTCTGTTAGGTATCGCGCATTGCTGTTGATTTCGACTCTTTATCGCTTTAATCTTCAATCCTGAAAACTTACCTTCTGCAATATTTCTGGATATAACTATATTTCTTCTGTTCCTCCTTTTGGCTGGGAGATAGATATAAGCGTCCCTTTGGAGATTTGTACACATAGAGAATTTATTTTTTCCCTTTTGCCATTATTTGTTTATCTGAGAAAGATGTCAATGTCTGTAATATTTTTCAATAAATGATTAAACATCTGAATGTCGTTTTTAGTTTTTTACATTGGCGTCACACTATCTTCCTGGCGATAATATCTTCCTCGGACTCAAGGTAAATAATATAGGCATGTTTAGCTTATATGGTATCTCCTAGTCGAGCACTCAGTATTTCAACATTTTTTTCTTTTTTGTATGTTTTTTATTGTTGTGTAGGCGTTTAGAGATTCGAGTGTCAATTTTGTAGTAGCACTCATAAAAATGGCGACAACCCTATGAACATTTTTGCCGCTGTGATTTACATTAATATGCAATTTTTCATGCTGGGATCGAGACTTGAAACTGATGTGTGGTTGTGTATGTGTAAGTGGGTGTGTGGGTGTGTGGGTGACTCATAAAAAAAACAGTAAACATTTTATTATGTAAATTACGCACAGGCACTGAAAGGATCAAGTTTTGGTGGATGATGAGCTCCTCGATGGCCATTTAGCGTCCTGGCACGCGTTGAGCCTTATTAAAACTGTGGCGTTGACTGCAGTCCGGTTTCATATCCTTGTTAACTGGCAACTGGTTTCCAGTTGAGGTGATTTGCATTTGCAATAACATTTTCCTACCCGACAAGCGCCTGCAAAATGTTAATTTAGTGTGCGATGCGTTACGATGCTATGTGATGCGATGCCGTGCGTTGACGTCGACAACGACATCGAGATGGACATCAACATCGACGACTTTATGCAGATATATCAGTCACTCAACGGACTACTGCCAAAGTCCAAGACGTTGCTGAGCTGCTTGTCATAAAGCGCTCAGCGGTTGGCTTGACATTTCAATTTGCAAGAAGACGAGGACCGCAGACATGGCTAAAAGACAGGACAGCCAGGAGCAGCAACATTCAAGACATTCAAGACATGCAAATATGCAAATCAATTCGCTGACAATTTTCAGCCAAATCAAATATGCAATTGAGCTGAGAACCTCGCTGTGTCTACCCCCTCTTTCACACTGTTATTGCCTCTCCCTCTAGCGTTCTCTCACGAACTTCGTTAATTTATATTTGCCGCGTGCCGCACACACAAATAATCCAAAAATCGCTTCAGGCAACGGCGCTGCTAGCAACAAGCAATTACAGAAAGTTACTGTAATCCTGGAAAAAGTCCTAGTACTGGTCCTGCTCCTGCTCTTGCTCTTGCTGCTGCTCCTGCGTCTGTTTCTGCGCCTGCTGCCTGTCATAGTTACAAGCGCTAAGCCGCTTAGCGTTGTTGACTTTCACATGGGCAACACTTAGGGGTTGATTTCCCTTCGTTCTCGTGTGCTTGTCCTGATCCTTGCCTCCGTCACTGTGTGCGTGTATGTGTGTGTATTTGTTGTTTTGTGCCTCGCTTTTTGATGTGTGATTAGCCTATTAGCCAAACAACACAAAAAAAAATCATCCTCAATGGCAAATTCATGATGATGAGAAACGTAAATATTGAATGTGATGAGCGGCAGCTTGGACTAGGCACAGAATCAGGGCCAATAAATGTAAATGTCCGCAAGGCGTTACTTATTATGTCAGAACGATTAAAGTCAGCGTGGGATAAGTTGGATCCATCAAGCTAAGTCTGAAGAGTTGGCTAGGGATTAGAAAGCATACATACCCAGGGATTTTTATATAAAACGCGATTTTTTTTTTTTTTTATTTCTATATGCTCGAACATAACATAGTTCTTAGAAATTTTATAAATGAATTTCAACTTATTCCCCAATTTTTCGGGGATTAAATGATTAAATTATTTCTAATTTAAAGTATTTAAAATAGATTTATATGGTGTGCGTATAAGAAGCTTATATGGTAACTCATCAAATATTTCACTTATATTTCAGCATTTTTATTATAAATTATATAATAAAAATACTAATTTTGAATTTATGTAAGTTGAATAAAATTTGAAAATTGACTATGAATATTTAAACGACCTTCGGAATTTCTTTCGAGGATACTAGTTACATTAGTTTTTGCACATTATTCTGTTTCAGCAGCTTATACGAAATAATATAGTTTTAAACACATAATAAATATAACAGCTTAAAAGAAAAAAAACAGTTCTCAGCTAAGCTTACCCAATTAATAGCCTTTTTTTGGAGTGCCCACTGTACAAGTAAGTTGCTGGCCAATAAATCAGCTATAACTACAAAAGCTACAAATATGTGCAAGTATTTAAAGGCTTAAAGAGCTCATGCCATGGTCTGGCAAATTCATGGGCCCGTATGGTGCTCAGAATATTTGTTGCATTGTTTTCTCGTTGGCTTATTGACGAAAATTTCAGAAATTTTAATTTAAAATATTTCTTTGAATTCTAAATTGTTGACTCTTTGCACCCGCAGGCAGAGCCCGGGCCCCAGTCCAAGCCTCAGCCCGAGCCCGAGCCCGAGCCAGCCAAGCGCTTAGCCATGGCCATAGAGTCACCAAGACCGGGCCGGCCAAAGAAACCAGCTAAACAAACCCCACGACAAAGACACAAAAGAACAAAAGCGGGCGACAAACAAAACCAAAAGCAAATACACTGCTAACCGAATGATGATCGCATAGAGGAAAGAGAGAGAGAGAGAGAGAGACAGAGAGAGAGAGAGAGAGAGAGAGACAGATAGAGCGAGAGAGAGGGTGGGGCGTGGAGGCTGGCTAAAGAAAACTGAAACTGAGACTGAGACATTCAGACAGTCAACAGGATCGTGTCGCTCGTTTGTTTCTGCTGAAAATCTTAAAATTCTCGCAATTTCATGTTCGTTAAATTTTGATGTTGCAAATAAATTGAATTGTTAAACGTGCAACTTCGAATGTTGTGGTTGTTGCCTCGCTGTTGCCTGTTGCTGTTGTTGTTACTGTGAATTGCAGGCGCATATTTAAACAAATGATGGCCAGATTTAGCGGCTGTGCTGCGTTGCACTGTAAAATGGAAATCTTCTGAGCTACTCTATAAGAGGAGAGATAGAGAGAGAGAGAGAGAGAGAGAGATAGCAAGCAAATAGGATGAGAGAAACGGATGCGGAGTGAATGGCAAGCAGAGCAGCCAACTGCTTGAACCTCGATTATGCGAGGGCTGTATAATCAAGTATTTTCCAAATATAATGCAAGTAATCTGCAGATTTGCATTTTCTTAAATCGAATAAAATATGTTCGACTCTGAAGTTATTCACTGAACCCCTTTAAAACGTTAATCCTAACAATCAACAACAATCAGCCACCCATTTTATATGTCTTTTATCTTCATGTAAGTCTAATATAACCTATAAAAATCATTTATCCTTTCAATAAGTCGAAAGATATTCTAATCTTTTGTAAAGATGACAACTTTTACTGTCTCTGACAGCCCTCGGCTGTGTCTGCTTGCTTTCCTGCTTTTTGGCAGAGCATCTGCATCCTAAGTTGTCCCATTGCTGTTCGGTTGCCCTTTGTTATTGTGAGTTAAAATATTTATTTGTCGTAGCGCCTGGTCGGAGTGAGAAATTCTGATGGGTTTCTTATTTGCTTCGCTCGGCCTGTTTGCATATGTCCGGTCGCAGCGATGACTACATTAGCCGCATGCATAATAAAACCGAACTGAACCAGACCAAACTGAGCCTGCCGTACCGCCCCCCGGCCATGCTATTGCCTTCGATTTTATATGGAAATGCGGCCCCAACAATGGCTTCATATTTTCATCTCTCGCTCTGGCTGACTGGCTGGCACCGGGGCATTCAAATCCTGGCTGCACCTTTGACATGTTCGCATCGCATGATTTATGCAGCCATGGAACAACGCTGGCTTTTGGCTGCCACAACCTCTGCCGCAGCCGGAGACACAGCAACTGCAACAGCTACATGTGAAAAATTAAGTGATATTTCTGAATTTGTTGGCAGCCATCGGCTGCTTCGGCATCGCTATGGACACTGGCTATGGCATGACTGAAAACTGGAGAGTCGAGAGTCGAGATCTGAGGCTGGGTGCTCGTAATTGATGCTGCTGCTCTCAATCAATGCCCAAATAGATTCTTGAGCATTTGTTGGTTTTCCCAAGCTGCAATGGATTTTTCCTCTAATAGAAAAATTATTAAATGCCCGTTGTTGTATTCATTGCTGTTGTCATTTGGCTTGTTTGCCCATTAATTCATCATTATTAAGATGTCAACGTTGTGGTTGACATTTTTGACCGCCGTTTTCGTCCCTTCATCCTCATCTCCGCCGCCTGGCCATGCGGGCCACTTGACATCTGTTTGCTGTCAGGCTGCATAGAGATTTGCCTGCCAGTTTTTCGTTCAACGTTCGCTGAGGTTCTTGTTGTTGTTTCCGTTCGTAGACGTCTGCACCTGCATTTGATTGATGCTAATTTTACTCGACTTTATTGCAAGTTGTTCTAAAATACTCAAAAATGTTCACATGACCGGTGGAGAGATATCACCCCCATGATAGTGCTACATGTATCTATTAATTTATTATCGGTGGACATGTGGATGCTCCAGATCCCTTAACCAGATATCTTAATATGCATATGATAAGTGTACTTGCCAAAGCATATGTAATCCTTACATATCTTCTTAGTGCCATTACTGGTCAGTTCCCATGTCGGGTTAGGAAACATATCATTTATCTTGAGGCTAAGCCTAAGATTGTAATCATGAATTTGAACGAGAAAACTAATTAAAATTTAACATTTCTCAATCAGTTGAGTAGCAATGAAAACTTAATAATATTTTAAAACTTAAAACTAATTATTTACATTAAGATAGATATATTAAGATACATATATTAAGATATTAAAAATTTTAACTATAAACCAACTCAATTAATTAATAATGCTTATACCATTTGCTATGATTTGTAGTATTCTAACTCTAAAGTGGAAAAGAAAAGAAATGTTTTTTTTTCTAATAGTTTTGACGATAGATTAAAAAATTTAGAATTTTTCATATATAATGTGTGGGTTGTTTTGGCTTTGTTTTGTTATAGCTGAGGCTATATAGCTCAGGTTGTATAATATTTATTGAAATTTGTTTTAGATGCATTTTTCGCTCTTTATTTATTATGTTATCTTGTTTAGATTGCATTTTTAAAGTTAGGTGCATATTTAATGACTTTTTTTACTGTCCTTACCAGAGATTAAGGGTCTGTATTTCATTAATTTTTTAAGCTAGTGTCTAATCAGCTGAGAAGTATCTTTATCAGTATTATGCGGACAACAATGTACAGCCATTTGGAACCAGCACCACCGGCGTTCATCCAACCACCCAACTGCTGAAATTAACGTTTGAATGCTTAATTGGCTGGCTATCAAAGCCGTCGCATCAAATCACATGGCTATTTGTTACATCAACACCAACAGGCAACGCCAGGGCCAGAGACAGTCGACGGCCAAAACACGCAAAGCTCAGCACACGCACAGAGCCACCCACATTTGATACATACAAACATACAGACATACATATAAATGTATATAGAGAGATATATGTACATCGAAGAAGTGGAGTGGGTAACGAGTGACGCCATTGCAAAATCACAAAATGCGTTCCTCACTTTTCGCGCTTAATTAAACAATTAAATTTAATTACGGTTAATATGGCTCTAATTGCTGTATTTCCTACGCTCTCGCCATGCCAAAGGCTGGCGTGCACGCACATCGACAATGCTCCAGCTGCTCTCAGCCAGACCCAGTCTGAGACTATATAGCGGCTATATACAGCTATACATAAACTGGAAGCTGACAGCAGGAGGAAGAGCAAAAGCTGGAGCTAATATAAAAGCGGGAGCAGCTGCGGGACAGATCTCAACGTGGTACATAAAAGCTTCAAATTAAAAGTGGCAACGGCCAGGTCACTGTGTGTGGGAGAGAGAGTGGGCCATAGTTAGAGAGTGAGAGAGAGAAAGAGACAAGGGGAGAGAGTGAGATGGAGCAGAGCCCAAATGTCCTGACACAGGCTATCTGTCTGATGCGCAGGGGCACAATTAAGCGGAAAGAAAAATTATTATAACTTTAGGTTTTGTCATTCCCAGCACGTAGCTCCCATTTACATATATACCTGGCTACATAATACATAAGCCCAGTCGTTAGGGGTAAGTAAATGGCTGAAATCAATAAAAAACCACCCCAAAAGCGAGTTGCAGGGCATCCCAGCTGGGGGCTGTTGCCCAAAACTCACCACGGCGTCGTTTTGTTGAGCATGCGCATAATTTTATGCCGAAGTGTCGCCGGTGCCAGGGCGAGCAAAAAGGACAGCAATAGTGTCATTCAACGCTTTCCCCAGCCCTCTCCATATAGCTTGCTCTCTATCGGTCGGCGCCCGCGTTGTCCTGTCTGGCTACAAGCATTTCTTTCACTTGGCTGCGTTTATTTGCACAGTTAAATTGCAAAAATGGCGTCGCGCAGCATAGAGGCAGCACGGCAACTGCGCTGTCGCCGTTGACGCTGACGTCGGCGTCGACATCGACGCAACCATACTAATATGTCCAATTGTGGAAAATAATTATAATGAAACAAATTTCCACTCACTTGCCAAGTGAAAAGCAAAACGTCATATCCTTTTGGCCTGCCCTGTGCGCTCTTACTCGCACTCGTGCGAGCCCACAATCTCTATCTCACTTTCTCTGGCGCTCTCCATCGCAAAACCCACTCTCCGCATCTCCCATGTGGTGGGTAAATGTAATAA